GTGTAGTATAAAGAGGCACCCTTGAAGCTCTTCATCCAAGAAAACCTTATTTCAAGTTTTGCCTCTGAGGCATACTGCTTTTGTTAACCCTGATCAAGACACCCAGGATCTCAGTTCTCTAGGCAGTCCTTTGTAAGTTGCAAAGAAGGTACTAACCTGCATTTGTAAGGAAATTTCCCCACTTGGAAGTTGCTTATACCAGTAAAATCACAGATTCAGCCCCTATTGATCGAAAAGGTCACAGCAGCGTATGAGTCTTTACTCTGACCACAGGGTGATTTTTAGCTATTTTTACGATAATGACCAAATTTAAAGGTGATAGAAGAAAGAAATGTCCCTTGCAGAGTTAGTCCTTAAGCCATCTCCCCTAGTGAAAGATATATATCACTTCTTTGGTGTTGGCTGAAAATTTTTACTAGGATAGTGAGGGGACCTGTCATCTGTTAGGAGTGAGTATTCAGAAGGAGGAACCTTCTAGAGAGCGTATTTTTTTCACTCTCTTTTTAGAAGTCAATGTTTAAGGAACTTTATTGGAAAAGAGAATAGGGCTGTATCAATAATAAATATAATGCAAAGCTTATCAAACTAAGCTACTGCTTAAGATTTTTAAACAAAAACTACCAAAGATATTCCTCTTATAGATTCTCCCAAGCAATACCATTTTGCACTATAGCATTATTGTATTATAACCATATTCTACTCTATAGCATTTAATTAAAAACATTGTTCATCAAATACTCAGTGTTCCCTGTGGTGTCCATTTTTTTTTTTTGGTAAGGCATTTGGGTTTAAGTGACTTGCCTAAGGTCACACAGCTAGTATGTGTCAAGTATTTGGTCTGAGGCCGCATTTGAATTCAGGTCCTCCTGACTTCAGGGCTGGTGCTCTATCCACTGCGCCACCTAGCTGCTCCTGTGGTGTCCATTTTCATGCAACCAATTCACATGTTAAATGGAGGTATGCCTGTGTATTACAAGGTATTTGCCAGCTTTGTGATATAAGCACCATGATATCACAGTCACAAACTAAGTTTTTCTGTTAAGCCTATTAAAATTAATGAGACAAATGACATCCTTACCATTTTATTTTTTTATAAAAAAAATCTCTTCTGCTACAATTAATAGTCTCCATGCTTTAATTTATGTCAGGTATGCAGAGGCCTTGCCAAACAGACTGAATTGAATGACTTCCTACTTGACGTATCAAAGTAAGTATCTAGGAATATGATAACACTTTTTGAGCAAAGATTTTTGTAATAAGTACATATTTAACAGAAAGTCATAAGTAGTTATAACTATTACAGAGTTTGATTGTAACCACTGATTGGAGGTCAGTCTATATCTAGATATAGAATGATAAGAGCTTTGGTTGCCTATTATTCTTCAATCGCATCATAGATAGAAATCACTTCACATATATAAAGGGTAGTGATATAGATGTGTGTATGATAAAAATTAATTTGTAGTTAAATACGCAAGATATGTATCTTTTTACTTATCAAATATGTCCACTAATGTTGACTACAAACTTTCCAAGTATTTTAACCTTTGAGAGAAAACAAAGAATGAGTTGAGAATGTGGGTTGGAGGACAACTATTGCTCAATGGTTTATTTTCCAACAATGTCAGTACATTTATTTTCTTATTATTTATGTTAATATTTCATATGTTGAAATGCCTTTTTCCTTAGAAGGGGATTCATGTCCCTAGACTAGAGCGTGGGCTCTCCGTGTCATGGACTTCTTTGGCAATATGGAGAAGTCTGTGGGCCACTTCTCAGAATGATGTATTCAGATAATTAAAGGAAATGATAAATTTCAATTAGAATTTAATGAAAATAAAGATATATTTTTCCTACCCAAATTCATAGACCCAGTGGACCCTAGATTAAGAACCCCTGCCCTAGAAACTTTCTCTTGGCAACTACTAAGGCTAGTAGAAGTTAAGAGTGTACCAAAAGGTTGGTTCTTGTGAATGAATGAATGAAATGCAGGTGCTTGCTATGTGCAAAATACTATGGATACAAAGGAAATTAAGACATTCCTTGTTCTCAAGGAGCTTGCATTCTATTTTATTTTTATAGTATTTTTAATTTTTCCTAACTACATGTAAAGACAATTTTTAAAATTCAGCTTTTAAAAATTTGGAGTTCCAATTTTCTCTCTTTGTCCTTCCTCACTTCCCCCCACCCCCCCACCCCCCGCCAAGACAGTAAGCACTTTTGACACAGGTTATATATGTGCAATCATATGAAATATATTTCCATATTAGTCGTGTTGTGAAAGAAGAAACA